TGTTACCCTCTTTGGGCTCTCTCGGGGCGTCTCTCGGAATTCTCATTCAAGTTCTTGGAGGCGTCTGGAGGCCTCCCAGAAGTCTGGAGAGCCGTCAACAAACTGTTTTGGACTGATTGGGAGCATCTTCGGCTGTTCTTTTGCATTATGAGGGGTTGTTGGGGCTGTCTTGGGGCGTCCTGGAGCGTTTTGGAAGCTCCCATGGAGGCCGGGGGGCGCCGTACCGGGCGCCTCTTCGGCAATTTTGGGGGTGTCTTGCCCCGTCTAGGACCCGTCCTGGGGATCTTTTGGGCGGTCTTGGGGTGGTCTTGGACTGTTGGAATCAAAACACAGAAAAAACAATCGAAATCTACGATGTTGGCCTCTTCGGGCTTTACCGGGGCGCCTCTCGGACCTCGATGGGGGTATTGTGGAAGCCTCCTGGGAGCGTGGAGAGCCGTCCACATCGTGTTTTGGACTGCTTGGGAGCGTCTTGTGCCGTTCTTTACGTTCTGGGAGCTTCTTGGGTTTGTCATGGGCTGTCTGTCGGCGTCTTGGGGTCCCCCCAAGAAGCCCGGAAGCGCGGCACCGGCCAGACGTCAGGGGATGTGTAAGACCCCTAAGTAGGAGTTCCACTTTGAAAACAAAGAAGTCTTGGAATTCCTGTTTTTAATTCAAAATCCTCGATCTTTGAGGGTTGGAAGCAGGAGAACGTGAGAAGGCAAAAAACATTGGAAACACCATTGGGAATCAACGATTGTACCCTCTTTGGGCTCTCTCGGGACGGCTCTCGCAGCTCTCTTTGGCTGTTCTTGGATTGGACTCCCGAAATGGGCACGGAAAGAATGGGTACAATGCCCAACAACGAATGTTGTCCCAAACCAACAGCGGCCGCTGTTGGGCAGGCGGCCTTCTGTCTCGAATGGACACAGGCCGCGGTGGCGTGGACAGCGAGTCCTATTGGAGCATCGTCGGGGTCTTTTTGGGGCCTCTCAAGGATCGGGTGTGTGTTTGGGGCCTCTGGGTGGTCCCGAAGGCCTTTCAGAGGTCTCTGGAAGCCTCCTGCTCCCGCTCTTGGGCCCATCTTGGGCCTGCTCTGGGGTGGTCTGGGGCTGTCCTGGGCGCCTCTTCGGCAGCCTTGGAGCCTTCTTGGCCCGTCTTGGGGCCGTCCTGAGGGTCTCGGTTTCTTCGGTGGTCTTGGGGCGGTTTTGGGAGCCTCAAAGGCGCTCTTGGACCGTTGGAAACTCGAAAACGCGAGACGCCGAAAACATTTAAACAACAATAAACATCGACGATGTTGGCCTCTTCGGGCCGTCCCGTGACGCCTCTCGGACAACTCGTCTCTTGAAATCCATCTGGGAGCCTCGAGAGCCGTCGGAAGGCTGACTTGGGCTGCTTGAGAGCGTCTTGGGCCATCCTTTCGCATTCTGGGGGCTCCTGGGAGGCGTCTTGGGCCCTCCTGGAGCGCTGTGGAGGCTCCCCGGAAAGGCCGGGGGAGCGGTACTGGGAGATTCCCCGAGATGTCACGGGGAAGTGTGGGACCCAGGGCCGGGGGGGGCGGTATATATATATATATATATATATATATATATATATATATATATATGATCCCGGGCTCCGGGCCCACGGGCCCCCCCCCCTCCCCCCCCAGATGGTATGGTCCCAGGATTCCTCGGGCCCCCCCCCCCAGATGGTATGGTACGACGACGACGACGACGACGACGACGACGACGGCGACGACTACGACGACGGCGACGACGACGACGACGACCACGACGACGACGACGGCTGCGGCGGCGACGACGCCGGCGGCGGCGGCGACGACGACGATGACGACGATGACGACGACGACGACGACGACGACGACGACGACGACGACGAGGACGACGAGGACGACGAGACGACGACGACGACGACGACCTCTGAACCACCACAGCACCACACCACATCCACAGGGGGGGGAGGGGGGCACCGCAGCGCAGCACCACGCCACGCCCACCTCTGAACCACCACAGCACCACACCACATCCACAGGGGGGGGAGGGGGGCACCGCAGCGCAGCACCACGCCACGCCCACAGGGGGGGGCGGGGGGGACCATCGCGCGGGGGGGGGGGCCCAATGGCATCAGCATTGGGGGGGAGGGGGGGGGCCCAAGCCCTGGACCATGTATATATATATATATATACATACATACATATAGAGAGAGAGAGAGAGAACAAACACGCGCGCGCTTCGCGCGCGCTTAGGTTCTAGTCACGGCTGCGCCACGTCTTGCTGCTCTCGTTTTCGATCATGTGATTATCGATGACGACGAAGACGACGGGGGCGGCGACGAGTGACGACGAAGGCGACGATGACGATGACGACGACGACGACGACCGCCACCATCAAGACGATGACGACGCCGACGACGACGACGACGACGTCCACGTAGTGACTCGCTCAATGCGGGGTTCCTGAAGTGTCCCCGAGGTCCCGACAACTTCCATTGACCCGGAGTTTCGTCGTAAATGTTTGACGGTCCCGGGGCCCGTGACGGGCCTCAGGAGGCCGAGAGTTGTCAGGAGCTTTGGGAGCGGTAAGAGTACCTCAGGGCGTTTGGGGAGGAGGCTCTTAGGGGCCTCTTGGGGATTCCTGGGGACCTCTTGGGAATTCTTGGGGGCCTTTTGGGAGCATCTTGGGGGCGTTTTGGGGGCCTCTTGGGGCCTCCTGGGGACCTCTAAGGGCGGAGAGCTTGAAATGTCCGTTTGGGTCCCCCCTCTGGGCCCCTTCTTGGGGCCGTCCTGGGGCCCTCATGGGCCGTCTTGGGGACCTCTTGGGCTCGCCCGGGGTCCTTTGGGGCTGTCTTGGAGCCCTCTTGGGCCGTCTGGTGAAGATCTTGGGGGCCTCTCGAGCCGTTTTGGATGCTCTGGAAGCTCAAGAGGCGACTCTTTTACAAATTTACGTTTTCCGACAGGATTGGGGCAATTTTTGGGTCTTGGGGCCCTTTTGGGAGGGCTCTTGGGGGCCTCTTGGGCTGCCTTGGGGCCCTCTTGGAACTCTCTTTGGCTGTTTGGTGCGATCTTGGGGCCCTCTGGGATCCTCTTTGGCCGTCTTGGCGCGAGCTTGGAGGCCTCTGGGCGAATATGGTAAAAATGCACGTGTTCCGAAGTGAATGGGGCCACTGTTGCTTCTGCGGGCCCTCTTGGGGGTCCTCTTGGATGCGCCTTGGGCCGTCTTGTGGGGGGCCTCTTGGGGCATTCTGGATGCTTTGGGGGGCCTTCTTGGGGTCTCCTGGGGCTCTCTTTGGGGAGGAAGGCTGGAAATGTCAGGTCGGGTACCCCTGTGAGCCCTTTCTGGGAGCGGTCCTGGGACCTTCTTGGGCTGTCTTCGGGGCCTCTAGGCAACTCCTGAACCTCACTTGAGCCGTCTTGGAGCCCTCTTGGAACTCTCTTTGGCCGTCTGGTGCGATCTTGGGGCCCTCTGACACCCTCTTTGGTTGGAGGCCTCTGGGCGAATATCATAAAAATGCACGGTTTCCAAAGTGAATGGGGCCATTGTTGCTTCTGCGGGCCCTCTTGGGGGTCCTCTTGGATGCCTCTTGGGCCGTCTTGGGCGGATTGGGGGGCTGTCTGCGGACCAGCTTCAGCTGCCTGGGGGCCTCTTGGAGGCCTCGTGGGGGCCTGTGGGGGGCCCCGTGGAGCATTCTGGATGCGTTGGGGGGCCTTCTTGGGGTCTCCTGGGGCTGTCTTTGGGGAGGAAGGCTGGAAATGTCAGGTCGGGTACCCCTGTGAGCCCTTTCTGGGAGCGGTCCTGGGGCCTTCTTGGGCTGTCTTGGGGGCCTCTAGGGCACTCCGGAACCCCACTTGAGCAGTCTTGGGGCCCTCTTGGAACTCTATTTGGCCGTCTGGTGCGATCTTGAGGCCCTCTGGGACCCGCTTTGGCCGTCTTGGCGCACGCTTGGAGGCCTCTGGGCGAATATCATAAAAATGCACGTTTTCCGAAGTGAATGGGGCCATCGTTGCGTCTGCGGGCCCTTTTGGGGGTCCTCTTGGATGCCTCTTGGGCCGTCTTGGGCGGATTGGGGTGCTGTCTGCGGACCAGCTGCGGCTTCCTGGTGGCCTCTTGGAGGCCTCTTGGGGGCTTGTGGGGGGCCTCTTGGGGCATTCTGGATGCTTTGGGGGGCCTTCTTGGGGTCTCCTAGGGCTGTCTTTGGGGAGGAAGGCTGGAAATGTCAGGTCGGGTACCGCTGTGAGCCCTTTCTGGAAACGGTCCTGGGGCCTTCTTGGGCTGTCTTGGGGGCCTCTAGGGCACTCCTGAACCTCACTTGAGCCGTCTTGGGGCCCTCTTGGAACTCTCTTTGGCCGTCTGGTGCGATCTTGGGGCCCTCTGGGACCCTCTTTGGCCGTCGTGGCGCGAGCTTGGAGGCCTCTGGGCGAATCTTGTAAAAATTCACGTTTTCCGAAAGGGAATGGGGCCATTGTTGCTTCTGCGGGCCCTCTTGGGGGTCCTCTTGGATGCCTCTTGGGCCGTCTTGGGCGGTTTGGGGGGCTGTCTGTGGACCATCTTCGGCGTCTTGGAGCGACAATTCTGTGATTCTGGGCGTCTTCGGCTATTTAGAAGCCTCCTGAGGCCTCTTGAGGAGCTGTCCTGAACTGTCTGAACCGTCTCGGATCACCCCCAGAGCCCCCAATACTCCCATGCCCCCTCGGGGCAGCCGCCCCGGGCGCCCAGGCGTCGTGCACGGGGATACATATATATATATATATATATATATGAATAAATAAATAAATATGTATATATAGGTATATATATATATATATATGTATATATATATATATATATATGTACACACATATATATATACACATACATACGTGTGTGTCTATACATACACATATTGTACACAGGTACACGCAGAGTTGAACACTAGAAGGTGGGAGCGAGAGATGGAGAGAGAGAGAGAGAGAGAGAGAGCGAGCGAGTGAGAGAGAGGGGGGGAAAAGCAACCAACAAAAAGAGGGGGGAGAAAGGAGGAGCCTCGGCAACCCCTGCACTGCGCGGTACACAGGCGTCAACACGCGGTCTGGCGAGCGGCAATCCATGCCAGCCACTCCGCGGTGCAACTCGATCCACTCCGACAGGCCAGGCGGCGGTGGCCCGCAAAGGGGGTCGCCCAGGCTCCTCGCCCCACGAGACCAGGAATGGGGGGGGGAGACCAGGAACATGAGCAGGGGTAACAATAAAAGCACGCAGTAGCAAGATTTACACGAGTACGAACCAATTTGACCAACAACGGGAAACGCCTCTCTGAATTTGCGTGCACGCCCGCACGGATTTGCACGACGCACTGCGACACGGGTACACATGGGGTACCCACATTTCAACAGCGACCTGCAGCTACACCACATCATAGTAGCAAAAGCAGCCAACAGCAAACGTACTCACATTTCAATTGCCACGTGCAGCGAACGACTCATGATTAAACTGCAGAAGGGCCACAGCAAACGTACCCACATGTCAACAGCTACACGCAGCTACACCCCACCTGGTAGCAAACGCAGTCAATGGCAAACGCACTCACAGTTCAATTGCCATGGGTAGCAAACGAGCGATATGTTAACGACAAAAGGGCCGCACCAAACATACCCACATGTCAAAACCTACAAGCAGCTACAAGTAAAACCATGGTAGCAAACGCACTCAGCAACAACCGTAGCCAGATTTGAACATGAAATGAGGCCGCAACAAGCGTACATGTTTTAATTGCCTCCTCCTCCCGCGGCCCCCCCAGGTGACGGCGAGGTCTCATGGTGATCTGCGTAAGACGCACCTCCGCTGGGCCTCCCAGGAGCCCCCGACAATGGCCACAGTTTCGCAGATCGCAGCCCCCAGGGGATGGCGACAGGACTCCCCCGAAAGTGGGGGCAAGCTTGCAGAACGCAGCACCCCAAGGGACGGCGAGGCCCCATGGTGATCTGCGCGAGACACACCTCCACTGGGCTTCCCAGGAGCCCACGAAAGTGGCGACAAGTTCAAAGATCGCAGCCCCCCAAGGGACGGCGAGGTTTCACGGTGATCTGCGTAAGACGCACCTCCGCTGGGCCTCCCAGGACCCCCCCCGAAAGTGGCGACAGCTTCGCAAATCGCATTCCCCCAATGGACGGCGAGGTCTCATGGTGATCAGCGTAAGACGCACCTCCGCTGGGCCTCCCAGGACTCCCCCGAAAGTAACGACAATTTCGCTGCTCGCTGCCCCCCAGGGGGCGGCGAGGTCTCAATGTGATCTGCTTAGGACGCACCTCCGCTGGGCCTCCCAGGGGCCCACGACAGTGACGATAGTTTCGAAGATCGCAGGCCCCCCAAGGGACGGCGAGGTCTCGTGGTGACCTGCGTAAAACGCACCTCCGCTGGGCCTCCCCCCCCCCCCCCGAAAGTGGCAACGGTTTCGCAGATCGCATTCCCCCAAGGGACGGCGAGGTTTCATTGTGATCTGATTAGGACGCACCTCCGCTGGGCCTCCCAGGACTCCCCCGAAAGTGGCCGCAATTTCGCTGCTCGCTGCCCCCCAGGCGACGGAGAGGTCTCATGGTGATCTGCGTAAGATGCACCTCCGCTGGGCCTCCCAAAAGCCCACGAAAGGGACGTCAATTTCGGAAATCGCAGCCTCCCAGGGGACGGCGAGGTCCCATGGTGACCTGCGTAGAACGCACCTCCGCTGGGCCTCCCAGGAGCCCACGGCACCTTCTCTGCGCAATTGACGACACCCGAGCGAGCCGCGGGCACGAGGCAGGACGCAGGCGGGATGAGAGAGGAGGAGGAAGGACAAGGGAGGAGGCGGGGGGAGGAGAAGTTTGAAGGGGGCTGGAAGGCCCAGCCAACAGCTTCGCCTCAGGCGAAGCCAAGCTCCAGCTCTGTTGTATTGTAGTAGCGATAGTCGCAGTATGAGAGGAGATGCCACCACAAGCAATAGGAATATCCTCTTGGTCTCGATAGCGATAATGTGGCTCGCGGTGAAGCACAGTCAAATCTGGGCGGCCGGCCGCCTGAACCGACGCGGCCGCGGGCGCACGCTCGCTTCCACTCCTCGCGCCCCTCAACTCGCTTAAGAGTCGGGGGGGGGGGGGGGGGGGGGGGGGGGGGAGAGACGAAACGTTGACCCGTCGCCCCATGCACAGCAGGCACAGCAGCTAACCTACACAAGGACAAGGAAGGAAGCGGGCCCAAAGGAAGGTGGACCCGCTAGCAAATTGCCTCGCATATGTATGACGCACTTATCAGGCGGCGTCAGAACTTGGTATCTGGCCGGCCCGATATGGAGTATGTCTCTTCAGGTCATGTTTGAAGGTCGGCATACCTCCCATGACTTGTAACGGCATCTGTATGTCGATGCCCCCCTTGGTGTGGCCATCCGCACTCATATCGCGGGTATCACGCGACTGAATGCTGTGCGCGATTCCACGCTCCATCATCTGTGGTACCCAACGGATGTATCCTAAAAGGGCACACTCAGCCGGCTTCTTCAAGTCTTGGCTTGACAAGGATTTAAAAGCATACTCAGCATCGATGGTCAGAGTGACCATGATGCTCAGGCCACCCAACTCGAGTATATCTTTCATTGGAGCTGGCGTGAGTGGCCCTGCGTGGAGCTCGTGCAGAGTGACAATCGTGGGATAACAGCCCTCCGAATTATGGGCTGCTAGTGTCTCTGCTGATTAGCTCGAGCGGGCTTGCAAGCGGTGAGACTTGCAGCGCGCATCAATCAAATGAGCGACAGGCTTACCAAATGACGTGTGCCCACGTCGTAGCAGGCATGCCCCGCGAATGCCATTGCCTTTGACGTCGCCGTCGGCGTCTCCACTCTGGCGTCGATATCCTGAGTCGCTATGCAAGTCGACCTCGCCCGTGGAGTTCATCGCCCGGTACACGAGCTTCTTCGAGCAGGCCTGTGTAGCTTTCTGGTGATCGCGTTCAGTCGTCGCATTTGAATGTTGGTCGGTTATTGGGCGCGCTGTAGAGATGCAACATACACTATTAACCACACCTGGGTCATCAGCGCGTATGCCAGCGCACCCCTGAGACTGACGAACATGTCTGCCACCATCTTGGTTGTTCGAGCGTCAGCGTCAGCGCCGGTTAGTTGGGATGTTGTATAGGACGGAGCTGTTTCATCTATTCATCTTGATACAAGGTAACATTGCCATCCTCGTCCTTAGTGTATCTCACAGCACAGTTAGTATATGTGTGCTTGTTGAGTCTACACTTACCGAAAGTATCTTCAACGCATTTGACAGATTTGTCAATGGTGTCCTCAGTGCCGGCCATATCGTCATCAACGTGCTTGGCCGTGAGCATGTTATTGCTCGTCTCGAACTCCTCGTCGTCAGACGTGGGTCGGAGTCAAAATCCTCTGGTGTTTCTTCTGAGCTGAAATGAGAAACCCCGTGGAGCGTCCTTAGTGCCTGTGCCGGGTTTCAAGCACTGCAGGCAGCGCTTTGACTCGTCGTAGTTCTCGAATCCTGGAAGAGCACGGAGCGCAGTAGCCGATCCAGGCGGCAAAGCAAAGCACACCGCACGTTCCTTTTCACCAGAAGCCTCAGCAAGTTCCTGATAGGTCAATCCCTTCAGGAAGGCCATGTTGATGTCGAGGGGAGCAATGATCCACTGCTTCTTGCACGCTGCCGTGCTGGCGAGTAACCTCTGGCTCTGCCTTCTTGCCGTTCCCGAAAATGTTTCCACGTCGAAAGCTTCGAGGTCCATGAAGCCTCGGAGTACCAGGCGTAGTCGGACGGTACGTGCCATCTCGCCCTTCTCGTTCTTCACGAATTGCCATTTGCACACGTATCTCGAAGTCGCGATGTTCGACGCGTTGGCTATCTCCTGCATCTTACAGCATTTGTTTTTGAGCCATGTCTTGAGCTCAGTGAAGAGGGCCTTCGATACGTTGTCAAGATTTCCCTGGATGTCAGTTTTGGCGAGGAGGTCGTCTTCCTTGACGACCGCGGCTCGCTTTGCAGCGGCGGTGACGTATACTCGCAAAGTGGTCGCCCGGTCGGCATCTAATATCATGCGTCGCTGCTCGGACAAGACTACCTTCGACATTTCTGTCGCAAAACATAATTCAGCGTATCGACCATTTTCGGCTGAGTCGAGTCCGTAACAGTCGTCTTCGACCGCGGTGCACAGGGGGGCGTAGTACGTCTCCTCGGTATCGGAGTCGCGAGTGCGCCCCCACTTCGGCAGGTGTTCCCGCTGTTCTTCAGCTACAGTGATCAGCGCGCTCTGATCTGGAACCAGCTGTGTGGGTATGGCAAAAAGGTCCTCTGGTAGAGCTGCCTCCAACAGTACTCCTTCCTCTTGCAATTCTGCGTGCCACACCTCCATAATATACGACTCGAGATCAACGTCTGAATCCTCGTAAATCGTAGAGAGCCGTCATCATGTGCTGGTTAGGCTTCTGAAGCTTCTCTTGCGGTTCCTTCCGGTGTCGCGGCATCAGCCAAGTACTCGAATTATGACATGTCCTGACCGACGCCTGCTTGAGGTTTAGTGGACTTCAGGCACCGAATGATTCGTGAATGTGCTGATCCAGTTAAATCACATATATATACATATATATAGTCAGAGCACTACCTTCTGCGTCGTAGCAATGGAATCCTGGATGCACGGCGTTGTCATAATGGACCAATGTGACACTGTCGGCACAAGTAACCAGAGGTAGCTCATGCATACTCTTGGCTCATCTCACCGAAACTACATTCTCAATGCGAGAGAAGTTTTGTTTAATCAAATATTGTAGGGCCACATGTACCTTAAGGGATAGACGACTTGCAGTCGTCATCTGAAGCGTATCTTTCTTGGCCGGCACATGGCCAAATGTCAAAGCAGGTCTCCCCGCTGATAGGCTGGCCACGAATGTCGACACTGTGCGTAGTGCAGTGTTGTCGGAGCCAACCTCTCGGGCTATGAGTGCTTCAATGTATAACGAATGACTTGCATCGCTGTATATTGTACCTGAACATCTCGATTGCCTACTCGGATGCATGACCCCTTTTCGGGATCATTCCGTACGACTGGGAACGGGCCATTCCAGCCTCCCCAATCATCGTTCGCGGTCGCAGGGCGATGGTAGTCGACCCAGTCTCCTTCGCCATGATAGTGCTGACCGGTAATTGTCGTCTTAG